AATAGATTCAGAGAAGACATTTGCAAAATCTAATACCCTCATTAACAACCTGCGATACGCAGATGATACAACTTTGCTTGCTGAAAGTGAGAATGACTTGAAGCACCTACCGATGAAGATTAAAGACTATATAGTCTGCAGTATGGATTACACCTCAATATAAAGAAAACAAACATCATCACAACTGGACCAACAAACAGCATCATGATAAATGGAAAAAAAGATTGAAGTGTCAAGGACTTCCTATTACTTGGTTCTACAATCAACGCCAACGGAAGCAGTAGTCAAGACATCAGATGATATATTGCATTGCATAAATCTGCTGCAAAAGACCTCTTTCAGGTGATGAAAAGCAAAGATGTCTCCTTGAAGACTAAGGTGTGCCCAACCCAAACCATGGTATTTTCAATTGCCCCTTATGTGTGTGAGAGCTGGACAACGAATAAGGAAGACTGAAGAAGAGTTGATGCTTTTGAGTTGTGGTGCTGAGAGTACCATGGACTGCTAAAAAACCAACAAATCTATCCTGGCAGAAGTGCAGCCAGAATGCTCTTTGGAAGCGAGAATGGCCAGACTTCATCTCACCTACTTTGGTCATGTTATCAGAAGTAACCATTCACTGGAGAAGGATAACATGCTTGGAAAAGTGGAGGGTCAACGAAGAAGGGGAAAGCCCTCAACAAGATGGATGGATACAGTGGCTGCAACAATGGGCTCAGGTATAGCAAGGATCATGAGGCTGGCACGGGACCGTGAAGTGTTTCATTCTGTTGTGCATAAGGTCGCTATGAGTCAGAGACAACTGAATGGCACCTACCACCACCACCACCAACAACATGGTTCACTGAGGTGTGAGTTCTGCTTCATTTTTTCTTTCAGCTTTTTTCCCCTTCATACTTCAGTATGTTTTTATTGCTGTGTCTTCAATTTACTGCCTACAGTGTCTAATCTACTGTTAATTCTATCTAGTGAATTTTTCACTTTAGATATTTTATTTTTCAAGTCTAAAATTTCAATTCTCTCTATTTTCATCAATTACCATTTTTCTCTAATGAGAATTCATAATGATTCTCTCATTATATGTTTTTTTCTTCTTTAAATCTATGAATGTATTTAAGGCAACTGTTTCAGTCTTTACCTGCTAATTTTGTCATGTGTCATTCTTAGATCTGCTTCTATTGACCAATTTCATGCTTTGTGCAACTAATCATTTTCTACTGCATGTGTGACATTATAAATGCATGTTGTTGAGTGTCTATATTTCATAGTCTTCCTTAGTTACGTGTTGAGTTTTGTTCTGGTAGCCAATTAATTTACTTCTGAATCAGCCTTGATCTGCTAAAGGTATTTTCTACCCCTTAACATCCATCCTTTTCTGTTTTAAAATCATTTTGTACAAGAAACAACTTTCAAAGCAATGTTAAGCATTTCTGTTTTTCCAAGTCTTATTTTTGAACCTTCTTAGTGTGAGTGTAGAATAGCATCTACTTCAGAGATAGATTAGCCCTTCTTCTATACAGGATGTCTTCTGAAAACCAAGAGTGTTTAATAAAGCCACTCAAACCTGTGGGACCTGTGGTAGTTGTTTAGCACAAAAATCCGGTAGCTGTTCTTTCGCCAGTGCTGTGGAGTCTTGTCCGGTTTTCTAGTTCTTTACTGTGGTATGGCTGATCACAGTTACTCCTCCACAGGCAGGAGTGTAAGTTCCAGGAAGGAGTTTTGGATCATGTGTCTACTTTCCCTTGGTTCTCTTCTCTTTCTCCTTTTGGTCCACTAACTCTGCCTTCTTTTTCCTATGATTCACTCTCAAGAACACATCTTTATTTACTGGAAAGACCCATAAACTAATTCTCATTCACTCAATCCAATCTTCTTATCTCTTCACAATATTGTGTCTCTCCTGGGCTTAAAATAGTCCGAGCTCCTTTTGAGATGCTCGCTACTTGGTATATTCTCCAATTTATCTTTTTATTGTGGTTCTGTTCTCTATAGTTTATTTTTTAAAGATTTAGAACAGGTTCACTAATAAAGCTAAAACAATCCATGTCAAGAAAACTACTTGATTAAAAGCTATTCCTGAATTAGCATTCTGATCCCACAGTTAAACTAATAATCCATAAACTTTTCAAAGAAGGCAAAGATACTGCTAACAACACACTTCTTCCGTATTTTTGAGTTTCTTATCTCATACCTAAGACTTAGATAGTCTGTTGTTTCCTCTTGTGAGTTATTTTAGTTGCTTTTTAGAGAGTGGGCTTAGGTTTTACATATTTTTCTTCTAACTTAAGAGCCTTTATGTTGATGCGATCTGTTCCTAGAATGTAATGTTCATAACTCTGTCCTCAAAATATCTATTAATCCATGTTTATAAAGAATTAGTCACTTTAAAAATAAATTTTGCATGGCTTTATTACCTTTTAAGGAGAGAAGAGATAAGAGAAGGAGGAACAGAAATGAAACTGGTTTCTAAAACAGGCTTTTAAGAAAGTAGTTTCAAATTGTAATGGGAGGAAGAAAACGATTAAATCAGACTTTCAGAGGCTGAGGGGCTTATCCTCTTACCGGTGCAGCTGGATATATTCTCGGGGCCTGTTGAGCAGGTGAAGGAATCTGTCAACAATCTTGTTCTTTCCTACACCCTGTAAGTACACAGATAACATTAAAGAAAAAGGTTTTTGGGGAGGTAAATTTATCCCAAACCACAAGAATCCTTTACTAAAATCTACTTTCTCAACAAGATATGTTTTAATTAAATATTAATTTTTTTCCTTTTATCTCACTTTCCAGTCCTTTAAAACCCTGGAAACCTAAAAATGCAATCAAGGTATATTAATAAATGTCAACTGTTCATGCTCTTCCTCGAAATGCCCTCATTTCCTCACCACCTGCCCATGCTGAAAGAGTACAGTACTTTAGTAAAGGATGGAGTGTTGAAAATGGAATCCATCCCCAGGCTATTTTTCCATTTTGAAGTTTTCGCTTAGAAACCAAAAACAAACCAAACTCACTGCCAACGCGTCATTTTTGACTCATAGCGACCCCTCCTTGGGTTTCCGAGGTGGTACCTCTACGGAAGTAGATTGCCCAGTCTTCCCCCCAAGGAGTAGTCGATGGGTTTGAACCTCCAGCTTTCTGGTTAGCAGTCAAATGCCTTAGGCACTACACCACCAGAGCTCCCTTTCACTTAGAGGTGGAATACAATTAATGGAGTGTAAATCCTTTAACAAGTAGGTTGTGTGGGAACAGTGGAAGTGGTTAAAAAGCTGAGTTCTGTATCATACATGATACCAATAATAACTAACACTTGCTGGTTGGTTTCACATAGCAAGCCTGCCTGCTTGCTAAACCTTTTCACACCTAATTTAATTTAATCAGCACAACAGTCACATTAGATGGGTATCATGATTATCCAACCTCACGAATCAAGAAACCGAGTCTCAAGGCAACATGTCCACAGTTGCACAGCTAATCCTAGTAAATCCAGGAGTCAAGTCCAGGTCTGTCTGACTCTGATTGCTCATGCTTTTAGCCCCTTTATTATGGATTATGTTCTTTGAGTTTGAAATTGATTTAGGCAATCTGGTCCTCAAATTCTCTCTCTCCCTACTTCCTGGAATCCCTCCTAAAGAAATAATTAAGCAGCTCAGGGCAAGGCATGGTGCCTACCAGCTATAGCAGAAGCCCAAAAGAGAGAAGTAGGCATTATTGTGTTTTATTACTATTTTTCTCAAATATCTTGTGAAGAAAGGCATACTACGAGCACCAATGACAGAAATTCAAATACATGCAATGGATATTTATCAAGCATCGTGTTTGTCTAGATCTGTGACAGTTCCTCTAAGAAAAACAAAGATAGCATATGACTGTCTCATCCTTCACAGTCCTCAAAGGGAGATAAGATATATATATACATGGAGCAATTAGAAAGTCACCAGTGAAGATAAACATTAACTTCTGTGATACAAGATGAGTGTTGGTGGCTCTGTGGTTAAAGCAATGGGCTCCTAACCAAAAGGCTGGAGGATTTCTTCTGTAAAGATTTACAGCTTTGGAAACCTTATGGGGCTGTTCTACTCTGTCCTATAGGGTTATTATGAGTCAGAATTGGCTCAATGGCAGTTTTTTTTTTGTTTGTTTTCCTGTGATACAGGTTTTAATAGCCTTAGAATCTTCTGTCTTCTCTTTGGTACATTAACTATGCCACAAGATAATAAAGTCAGGAGAGATCTATGGAATTAAAGTATCCCTGACTACATAATGAATAAGGCAACTGAGGTATAAAACAAGAGTGGACAGTATTAGGCACTGACAATTTCCTATACAACCTTGAATTGGGGAAATACAATGAAACCAATGTTTAAATAAGATCAATTTGGAAATAACAAGCAAGATATATTGACAAGAGGTGAGATGGGTACCCAGGAGATCAAGTATTTATTCATTCAGCAGATAATCAAATATTTACTGAGTGCTGGCATGTGTCAGCAGAGGCAGTGTAAAGAAGGAAGACAAGGTTTCTGTTCTCATGCAGCTTCATTTCAGAAGTCAGGAAACAGAAATTGGAAGATGAGTTAGAAAAGAAGGTAGTTGTTGTTATGTTGTTATGTGCCTTCAAGTCGGACCCAACTCATAGCGACCCCTCCTTGGGTTTCCGAGGCAGTATCACTACGGAAGTAAATTGCCCAACCTTCCTTCCGAGGAGTGGCTAGCTGGTTGGTTAGAAACACCAGCCTTCTGGTTAGCAGCCAAGTGCCTTAGGCACTACGCTACCAGAAGGTAGGAAGGTGGGTAGCAAAAAATTTTTAGACAACTAAATAAACAACAAAAAAAATTATCAAATAGTGTAATTTTGCTACAGACAATTAAGATAGGGAGAGGTGATACTGACTGGATGGTTACTGAATAGTGATTTAGAAAGGAAGACTCTTCCTTAGGTAATTGATAATCTGAATGACAGAAGTCAGCATTATGGTGGTTAGGAAATGGGGCATTTCAGGAGAGAGAACTACTACAGCTGATCCCCTAAGTAGGAATAAGCTTGGGATATCTGAAAAACAGCCAGCGTGGTTCCTATGTTGTGGGTAAAAGGAGAGTATTGGAGAGATGAAGTCAGAGAAGTAGGCAGGGTCAGACCAAAGTGAAGAATTAGGATTTTATTCTAAGTGTGATGGGAAGTTCTTGGAAGGTTCTTAGCAAAGAAGTGATGTAAATGAACACAAATCATAAAAAGATTATTTTAGAAACAGAGTAGAGAGTGGATTAACAGGATGGAAGCTGGGAAACCAGGTGGAAGGCCACTGCAGTCATCCAGAAATGGTGGTAGTTTGATTCCAAAAAAAACCCAAACTCACTGCCGTCAAGTCGGACCCGACTCATAGCAACCCCTCCTTGGGTTACCAAGGTGGTATCACTATGGGAGTAGGTTGCCTAATCTTCCTTCTGAGATGTGGTTGGGCTTGAACCTCCAGCCTTTTGGTTACCAGTCAAATGCCTTAGGCAAATGGAGATGGATGGATTCTAGATGTTTTGCAAGCAAACATGGCAAGCCTTGCTAATGGAATGGATATGGGGAAGGAGGGAAAGGAAGGATAAAAGATTATCTTCTAGATATTTCTTTGAGGAACAAAGATAAGAAAGACTAGGGCAGGATCTAGTTAGACAGAAACTCAAGAGTTTTCTTTATCTTTCTCCAAAGCACTTACTACCGTTTAACATTGTATCAAAATAAGTTACTTATTTGTGTGTTGTCCTTCTCTTCCCATCAGACATGTGAGCTCCTTGAGAAGCGCGTTATGTTCGCAATGGTATCCCCAGTGCCTCAAACCATGTCTGCCTCAAAGTAAGTACTCAAACATTTGTGGAAAGCCATGTGTTTATGCCAGAAACTCCAACAATCCCCAGTACTTCCCACTCCACCCCTCATAGCCAATCCATGACTAATTCCTACCATGACTACTTCTAAAATATATCTCATTTGTCCAATTTCTCTGTTGTTAGGTGCCATTGAATCATCTCCAACTCACAGAGACCCTATGCACAGCAGAATGAAACATTACCCAGTCCTATGCCACCCTCACGGTCTTTGTTATACCTGAGCCAATCATTGCAGCCACTGTGTCTATCCATCTCATTGAGGGTCTTCCCCTTCTTTGTTGACTCTCCACTTTACCAAGTATGATATCCTTCTGAAGGAATGGTTCCTTCTGACATGACCAAAGTAGGTGAGAAGAAGTCTGGCCTTCCTCGTTCCAAGGAGCATTCCAGCTGCACTTTGTCCAGGGCAGATTTGTTAGTCCTTTAGCAGACCATGGTACTCTTAGCATTCTTCTCCAACACCACAACTCAAAAGTATCAACTCTTCTTCAGTCTTCCTTATTCACTGTCCAGCTCTCACATCCATAAGAGATGATTGAAAATATCGTGGCTTGGGTTAGGCACACGTTCGTTTTCAAGGAGACATCTTTGCTCTTCATCAGTTGAAAGAGATCTTTTTGCAGCAGATTTACCCTATGCAATATACCATCTGATGTCTTGACTGCTACTTCCACTGGGGTTGATTATTGTTGTTGTTGTTGTTAGGTGCTGTAGAGTCATTTCCAACCCATAGTGACCCCATGCACAGCAGAACGAAACACCGCCCAATCCCGCGCCAGCTCCATGATCCCTGCTATACTTGAGCCCATCATTGCAGCCACCGTTGTCAATCCATCTCGTTAAAGGCCTCCCCCTCTTTTGTTGACCCTCCACCCTACCAAGCATGACATCCTTCTCCAGGGAATGGTCCCTTCTGACAACATGACCAAAGTAGGAGAGAT